CTTTATTTCATATTGCCATTGTGCACCTCCTATTTTACTTTTTAATCCGACATATATTTTGGGTTTCCCGACCACAGAAAAAAATGGACTTGCCATTATAACCATATAGGGTACTGTAAAAATTCCTTTTCCTTGGGTCATAATTCCGCAGAATCACAGTAAAACAGTGATAAAAATTTGGCTTTTTGTATTAATTTAAAATGGATTAAGATATATTTGAAGTTAACAAGATAGAGCAAGTTGTAGAATTTTCATCACAATTATAAAACATATTCGTGTTTAAAATTTTATGGAAGAAATGAATAATTCATCAAAATGTTATATTTACAAACATATTTAAGACAGTTTTTTCTTTACAGTATTATCTTTGTAAGCCTATACCCGCTACGTACAAAAAGCAAATTAGTCGAATTAAACGTTCATCTTATAACCTTAAAACTGAGACAGGACGACATAATAAAAAACCTAGTGAAAGTAGGATGTGTAAAAATGAAGTAGAGGATGAATTTGATTTTGTTTCAATCAATCTACAATCGGAAAAGCTTGGTTAAAAATTATCAAGAAGTACATGATTGTATTACTGACAGAATCCATCTGTTTTTAATCTATAAAAGTATTAGGTGTTCTCAATGTGCATGAACTCTGTAATTTAGGGAAGTATACTCATTATATGCTTTTAAGTGAGGGAAAGCTTTCTCTCATATGATAATTCTCCATGAAGTCATTACATTTATTGTATTGTATTTTATGTAATCAGGTAATCAATAAAAACCGCCAATCAATGCCTTTATGTAATTAATTTTTAAAAAAAAAATGTACCGCATTATATGTTATTGAAATGCAATAAGATCTGTGTCTTAACCAATAAAATAATAATAGTCTCTGTTGTTTTCTTGCTGACAGGCATGAAAATGTTCGTGTGTACTTGTTATTTATACAATAATATAGAATCAAACAACAACAACAACTTTTTGTTTGACATCCAGATAAAATATATCTCTCATTTTTTTTTCAATTGCTCATTTAAAAGTATACAGCTTTTTAACGCCAAATGAATTCTCGGTCTTCTTTAGGAATGTAGGTGTAGTTCAAGCATTTCTCACACCTGAATTGAAGAGAGTCTACATTATTTTTTACTTCTGACATTTTCTTACGGGAACTCGAATTTTGCGTCTCAAGAACTTCACAACGTTTTTCAAATAATTGGGCTCTGCCTTCTGGAGGAATCAATTTGAAAGTTGGTTCTTTCTTGTAGGCATCAATTTTAACAGACTTCAGATTTTCCAGCATTTTGTTGTAGAGTTCTTCAAAATTGTATACTGCAGCCAGATAGAAGCATTTTAATTGGTAGAGGACGTCTTTAGTTTGGGACTCTACAGCCACTAACAGCCAGTCATGAAAACTCTTCATCAGGGCGTCCATACCGTACTCTCTTGCCAAAGGCAGAATTCTTTCTATCACAGAAACTAAATAGAATATCAGGCAGATTAGTAAATATATCATTTATGTACATGTACAATTGTATTGCTTTTAAGACAACAATTACATAAGTTAGATATTTCTGGTCACATTAATTGATAATTGTTCATTATTTTTCGCATGCTATGTACATGGGATATACATTGATTAGATATATGCAGCTTTATTTTAGCAATAGCTTCAGCATATGAGTTATTCTTGAATTCAATCAAAGTCAAATCATATGAGATCAATAATAAAAAAAGGGAAATTGTTCTATGGTCGATACAATGACCATATCAGCAAACACAATTTATCATTAAGTCAAATGCTGACTGACGTTTTTCATACACATTGTTAGTACATTATTTGCAAGGTGAATTGACGACGGATTAGTCTGTTATTTCCCGATCATGACAAAGAGGAAACTGTGTGTGTGACCGGTCGGCAGGAGATGCTCACTGATCCCACCTCTGATGTTTTGGAGGTCCGTGATTGCTCCAGCTTTGTATTGTTTTGTGGACTTTTGAGCTTGAAATGCTGTTCGCTGTCTCAATATATTATGTTCATGTACACAAGTCGCCTGCGTGGCACAGTGGTTATACTATCTAGCGTCTGCTCTTGAGTAAGGAGTCAATCCTTACGTCGCGGATTCGAATTCCACTGTGGGACGTGGAGACTGGTACTTTGGATAAGACCGTATAAACCGAGGTCCTGTGTCGCAGTAGGCGCTGGTACGAAAATATGACCCCTCCCTTTTCAATGGACCATAGTATCGAGTGTAGGAGAAATGTTACAGTTCTCCACAAGCAAGTGGTGGTGTTTCCATATGAGTGAAAAATTCTCGAGAGGGACGTTAAACAATATACAAGCGATGGATACAGAGATACAGTCATTTGGACATTAGTTTTAACAGAGGATTGTTGCCAATATATGTTGTAATAAAATCATTATTTATAAAGCACATTTTAAAACAACTCTTAAACTAACATAACCGCCCTAATTGAAGAAATTTTAGTATAGAAAGCACAAAGAAATTCACTTTTACATGGATACCCACTTCCGCCCCAGCCCGGGGTTGAACTCTCCACCTTCGGAATCTGTCTCCTTTTCCTGTTAAAACTAATGTCCAAATAACTGTATCTCACTTCAATTCTCAATGACCGTGTAGTGTAGGGCAGCGCCGCAAGAGTTCCATCGGCATCGAAAGCAAGTGTTTTGACTTGCCTAGATAGCCAAGCGGTGTAGCGCTCTGTTCCTGCACTGCTAGGAGACAGATTCCGAAGGTCGAGAGTTCAACCCCGGGCTGGGGCGGAAGTGGATACCCATATATATATATATATATATATATATATATATATATATATATATATATATATATATATATATATATATATATATATATATATATATATATATATATATATATATATATATATATATATATATGTATAATGAAAATACTCATATGTTATGTAAGTTTTTTAATCAAAGAAAACAACTTTATTTTCTTAAAAGTCTTTTTTAAAAGTCCTTTATCTGTAAAGACAGGCAGATTATATTTCTCGTCAAAATTATGCAACATATAGAATATTTTATTATCACGGGGAGGCGTGTAGTATCGGAGTGGTGGCGGGGTGGGGAGGGGGTTTAGGGTACTGAAAACTGTAAACATTCTGTTTCCCTGGGTCATAATTCCTCAGAATCACAGTATAACAGTAAGAAAAATTTGGCTTTTTGTATCAATATATTTTTTTGAAAATGTATTTGGATACATGTGAAGTTAACAACATAGAGCAAGTTGTAGAATTTTCCTCCCAATTATAAAACAAAGATTGTCATTTTGCTCAAAATTTTATGGAAGGAATGAATAATTCATCAAAGTGTGAGGATGATTCCATATGAGTTTCATCTTTCCTGGTCCAGTGGTTCTTGAGAAGAAGATTTTTTTTTTAAATGCCATTAATTTTTCGCTAATTCATAATTATCTCCCCTTGGAAAAGGGTGTGGTCCTTCATTTGAAAAACTTGAATCCCCTTTACCCAAGGATACTTTGTAGCAAGTTTAGTTGAAATTGGCCCAGTGGTTCTTGAGAAGAAGATGAAAATGTGAAAAGTTTACAACGACAACGACTACGACAACGACGACGACAACGACAACGACAGACAACGGACAAATTTTGATCAGAAAAGCTCACTTAGCCTTCGGCTCAGGTGAGCTAAAAATGTTTAAGCATAACTTTATAATTAAAATTTACTGGAGGCTCATGCTGGGAAGAAAGGTTGTTGACATAAGAAAGTGCAGTGACCTTGACCCAAGGTCTGTACTTCCTGTCCACAGCTCTAACGGAAGACCTACTCGTTGCTTTGCAACGAGCTCGGCTCTAGTTTATATATTCATATTTATATACTTATATTTATATTTTAGTCCGTAGGCAAAATCAAAAATGGTCTAAGACTAATATAGAAAAGCAAAATGCTTCAGTTCTGCAGCTAGATGGAATGATAACTCTTGTAAGTGGATGCTTTTGGCCCAGCTAGAACATGTAGAAGCCATGAAATGTATGAGAGAGGCACTTTTGGTCATCAACCTACTGTATATGTACTTGGTGAGTTTGCTAAATACCAAGGAGCAGAGCAAATTTTATTTCGTTCCCACAAATTTTAATTCGTGGCCACGAATTAATAATAATAATAAAAAATTCTCGCACCATGTCCTATACAAGCCACCGTACATATCAAAGTGCACTCGTTCTTTGTATCGTGTTAATGTTTCATCAAAGGTCAAAAATTTATTTTTAAAATAGTTCCAAAACTATGTAAGGAATAAAATAAGACTTTTACAGTGTATTAATATATAAATGATTAACAGATAGAAAGTATCACTTGAAAGCAATTTATATTTTAATTTTTTGAGAAAAATTGTATTAAAAATGGGCATATTTAAAGAAAAATGCACAAAAGGCTTAATTATATCCTATTTGTGAACACCATCACTGCAGAAAAAATATATGTTTATCAATGAAGGGCAATTTGGATGTGAATGGTCGCTGAAACGTTGTAATTGAAAGCATGCCCTGTAAAAAGAAAGGTTTCTATAAAATTCACCAATTGCAATATGTACTTTCGGTTTCAAGTCTTAATATTTTGACAAAATAAACAGGGAAAAAAACTTTCCAGAGGCTATAGAAGTCCAACGTACTCTTCATTTATAAACATTTATTGTCTCTGCAATGATTGCTTTTACTATAAGCTCGGAATTAATGAGGTGTGTGTGTGTTTTTAAATATAAGTTATATGTGCATTTTTAAAAGCGATAAATATTTTTACTAAGTATATTTTAGCAAGTGATACTTTGAAACTCTTAATCAATAAAATATTTATAAACTGTAAAAGTTTTTACTTTATACCTCACATAGTTTTGGAGCTATTGTAACAATGCGTTTTTGGACATGTTGACCTTTGACAATACTAATATTTAAACAAGTCACGTTAAACAGTTAAACAGGTACAGCAAAAATTTCAAAGTTTTAAACTACATACTATTTAGCTCTAAATGCTCTCCTGGATGAAAACTTCGCAGAAACAATACGAAGTCTTCATATTTTTTCTCCGGGAATGATATTGTACTTTCATTCTTCTCCTTGAAGTCAGAAGTAAACATGACCCGGAAAACTGGAGAGGATCGCATAAGAATTACTTTTGTCACGTAAAGTTCTTTGTTCTCTACCATCAAAATCAGGTCTGTTATGTCAGGATCCTCTTGAAAATATAGAGGTTTAGATTGACGTTCGCTTTTGGACTTTTCCGACATTTTTAATTTTTATAAGTTCATCTACCTGGTATGGCGTTCCCTTAGGACCATTCGCATTTGCACTTTTAGGGCGACGATGCGAGAGCTCGAAGTTAGGACGTCGGAAGCATAAAGAAGGCTGTAAAAGTCAACCTAAAATATACCGTATATATTTCAAAACTCAAATTACATTAACTATATTCTTGACAAGAGGATTTTTTCCCTCTATTTTCTTATGTAAAAGTGTAATCCTCCATTGTGGCCCCACACTACCACAGGGGGTCTTGATTTGGGGGAAAAACCAAAACTAAAACCAACAAGAGGCCCATGGGCCACATCGCTCACCAGAGAAGCTTTGACCATTCTGTTCTTTACCAGATTTCCCCCTTGTAATACATATTGTGACCCCATCCTACCCCACTGATCATAACTAAGACAATTTGAAATCTACACTAACCCAGGATGCTTCTACATAAGTTTCAGCTTTTCTGGCCCAGTGGTTCTTAAGAAGAAGAGTTTTAAAAATTTTTCCTATATATTTCTATGTAGAACTTTGATTCCCCATTGTGACCCCGCCCTAACCCGGGGGTCATGATTTGAACAATTTAGAATCTACACTACCCCCATAGGGGCTTCCACATAAGTCTCAGCTTTTCTGGCCCAGTGGTTCTAGAAAAAAAGATTTTCAAAGATTTTTCCTATATATTTCTATGTAAAACTTTGATTCCCCATTGTGGCCCCGTCCTACCCCCGGGGGTCATGATTTGTATAATTTAGAATCTACACTACCCCAGGATGCTTCCACATAAGTCTCAGCTTTTCTGGCACAGTAGTTCTTGAAAAGAAGATTTTTAAAGATTTTTCCTATATATTTCTATATAAAACTTTGATTCCTCATTGTGGCCCCGCCCAACCCTGGGGGGGGGGGGGTGGGTGGGTCATGATTTGAACAATTTAGAATCTATACTACCCCAGGATGCTTCTACATAAGTTTCAGTTTTACTGACCCAATGGTTCTTGGGAAGATTTTCAAAGATTTTTCCTATATATTTCTATATAAAACTTTGATTCCCCATTGTGGCCCCGTCCTATCCCCGGGGGTCATGATTTGAACAATTTACAATCTACACTACCCCAGGATGCTTCCACATAAGTTTCAGCTTTACTGGCCCAGTGGTTCTTGAGAAGAAGATTTTTTAATGACCCAACCCTATTTTTGTCTTTTCTTGATTATCTCCCCTTGTGAGGGGACTTGGCCCTTCGTTTTAACAATTTAAATTTCCCTTCACGCAAGAATGCTTTGTATCAAGTTTGGTCAAAATTGGCACAGTGGTTCTTGAGAAGAAGTTGAAAATGTGAAAAGTTTACAGACGGACGGACAGACGGACAAAATGTGATCAGAAAAGCTCACTTGAGCCTTCGGCTCACCTGAGCACTGTGCTAGGAAAAAGTAGAAATTAGTTTATTATTGAATAGTTTAAATCCAAAAGTAGTTCTATGACCAACCATGTCTTTGCTATTTTCGAAAAGATGATTTTTAAAGAATTTTCTGATATATGTCTATGTTAGACTTTGAATGGCAATTGTGGCCCCGCCCTACCACTGGGGGTCATGATTTGAACAAACTCACTACCTGAGGATGCTTCCATATAAATATGATAAATTGTGGCTTTGTTATTCTTTAGAAGAAGATTTTTAAAGAATTTTCTAATATATTTCTATGTAAAACTTTGGTCGGCCATTGTGGCCCGCCCTATCCCCGGGGGTCATGATTTGAACAAACTTGAATCTACACTACCTGAGGATGCTTCCATATAATTATGATAAATTATGGCTTTGTTATTCTTCAGAAGAAGATTTTCAAAGAATTTTCCTATATATTTCTATGTAAAAATTTGATTGGCCATTGTGGCCCCGCCCTACTCCCGGAGGTCATGATTTGAACAAACATGAATCTACACTTCCTGAGGATGCTGCCATATAAATATGATAAATTATGGCTTTGTTATTCTTGAGAAGAAGATTTTTAAAGAACTTTTCTGTAATTTTTCTATGTAAAAGTTTGGTCGGCCATGTGCCCCCCGCCCTACCCCCGGGGGTCATGATTTGAACAAATTTGAATCTACACTACCTGAGGATGCTTCCATGTAAATATGATCAATTATGGCTTTGTTATTCTTGAGAAGAAGATTTTTGAAGAATTTTCCTGTATATTTCTATGTAAACATTTGGCCGGCAATTGTGGCCCCGCCCTACCCCCGGGAGTCATGATTTGAACAAATTTGAATCTATACTACCTGAGGATTTTTCCCCTTATCTTTCCTGGCACAATGGTTCTTGAGAAGAAGATTTTCAAAACATACCACCAAATTTTCATTAATTCCCAATTATCTCCCCTTGAATGAGGGCATGGCCCTTCATTTGAACAAATTTGAATCCCCTTTACCCAAGGATGCTTTGTGGCAAGTTTGGTTGAAATTGGCCCAGAGGTTCTTGAGAAGAAGTCGAAAATGTGAAAATTTACAACAACAGCAACGCCGCTGACGACGACGACGACGACGACAACGACGACAGACAACGGACAAATTGTTATCAGAAAAGCTCACTTGAGCCTTTGGCTCAGGTGAGCTAAAAACCAAACAATTTAAACCCCTTAAAAATTGAAACTAGGATCATTACTTAAGGATTCTTCAATAAAAACATAGTCGATTATGGCTTTACTGTTATTGAGAGCATTTTTAATGATTTTTCCTATACAATTCAATGTAAAACTTTTATTGCCTATTTTGACCCTAACAACCTAGCTATAGGGGTCCTGTTTTTGAACAAACGTGAATCTACACTTCATAAGGTTACTTCCATATATTTCCATTTCCAATGTATTTCTCTGTGATAAACACTACAAAAGTAAATCTTGTTAATTTCATGGTATTAAATACCTGTGGTATGTATATTTCTCTATTGAAATACTACAGTAACTGAAAGGTCAAATGCTAACCTGCATGTATATGAGTAGCGTATAAATACACTGAAGAAATATTTTTTTTTGTTTAATTGTTTACTAAGTAATTAATTATGATATATCTTTTTACAAACAAAATAGATAAAGAATTATCTTCGGATCAAAAGCGAGTCGCTAGCGCAACGATGTCCACCATCAGCGAGGCCAAAAACTCCACTTCAGTAAACAGCCTATCTGGAGCACGTGGAGAAATCGGCACAGTCATACTTCTTCATCTGATACAGACATGGTCCCGCAGTCATTAACATCCGACTTCGTAAGCAGCTCAGCTTCCTCTGCTATTTTAACATCCACACAAATCGTTTCCCTGACCAAATCTGCAACATTGCATTCAATATGGCGGCGGAGAAATGACCTAGCTAGGCAATCTCCCATGCAGAATTGTCATTCGTTCCTCTCTCAGACACCTCTGCGATGGCCTCACGTCAAGAGGTTTGACATAACATATAAAATGTGATATTTGAAGGATTGTTTCAATTTAAATTAATAGTTTTGTATTGATATAGTAAACAACAGTCTCAAACTCAGACATAATCATAGAAATTGAATTATAATGAATTAAAACAAACGCACTATTTCTCGTGTTTAACACTGTGAATACGCGAGCCAACGACAGAGGTGAATGTATGAGCTGATGGTAGAGAGTGCTAGCTAGGGCCTAAACACGTGTTCATGCTTCTGACAACCTAAATTTAGGGCACATATAAAATTTGAGTTAAGGTGTTTCCACCCTTACAATTTTATAGGTTTAAAGTACAAAAACTGCATTTATTTTCATTTAATATACTTTAAACTTTCCAATTATTGCAAAAAATGTATAGGTCACCATATTATTTAAGATGCGAAACATAAATAAACAGAAGTGTATGTCAACATAAAAATTCGCACATTTTTTGTAAACAGTATTATGAAAAATATGTTAAAACTGGTTAAAATGCATAATTCTGATGATGAGTGTTCCTAAATACTTACTACTTAAAAGATACTTTTGAATTGTGAATATCGGAAACTTTTTTACAATAAAGCAAATGCCCATATGAAGGGACCTT